TAGACGTCCCCTATATTTAGCTAATTTTTATGACGATTGAAATTTTTACATCTCCGAACTATGACAATACTTTTTTCTTAGTATTATTATTATTCTTTTATTATAAAACAAAATATATATATAGTTAATTCAAAAAAATTCATTAAAACAATGATATTATATACGTAAGACAAGCTATTAAAAACAAGATTTAGTTTGTATAATATTACAACAAAATCGGATAAATAACATACTACAGTAAAATTATCGATTCTTATAAAATCTGTCCCATGCCAAAAAAAAAAAAAAAATTACATAATATTCGATACACAAGTTTATATTATAACACTGTGTTCTATAATTTCGGGAAATATTCTTGTAAATCATGAAACCTAGCCTCCGTAATCTCCGTTTATCAACCTTTGTCAAAGTGTAAAATTTTTTTTCGATACAAAACAAACAGGTCTTCTCTTATGGATTTTTTTTATAATTCACTTATTTGTCAAAAACGGGGTAACCTAAAAAGGAAGATCTATAAATAATATATTCATTTAGAATTACCAATTCTGGAAACACAGCGATTAAAAGAAACAAACATTAACACTTAGTTAATACGTACGTATCTAAATTACGCCTGTCCGCATAAATCTAAAGAATCTGTTGAACAATGAAACATAGAAATTCTTATTATCAAACTGGAACGCGATTAGTTGAACACAAGCAAGATGTTTCACGCAGAATCTGACGCTAATGATAGTGGTTTTACCTAATGGATTCAAATTTCCGGGGTGAGTAGATCATTCTAAATACAAGTATATTGTAATGAACGCCATCCGCAAATTGGAGCGCGTGATTTTCCAGGTGATGATAACACAGCATTATATGGCCTTTTATAAATGCCAATGATTAAAAAAATAACAAAGACGTACGTACGTACGTACGTGATTTGGTATTTAGTGTCGCGAAATTTATACTTACACAATTATACAATTATATCGATGTACAGTATAAAAATGTATGGATAATTGGGCCAGAAAGAAAGTGAAGCATACGCCGCCGCAATTACCTAATTATAAAGGATAATTATTTAAATAGAGATTTTCGAACAATGAGAGTCTTTGAACAATGAAATTAGGAAAAATCACCACAAATGGATCAATAAAGCTAATAAACCTTAATATGATAGCATTAAGTGAGAATTGACTCATCTATGAATTTGCATTTTTGATTGTCAGACACAAGCGTAGGTATTGATATGTTTACGCGACAAGGAAAAAATACGGAAAAAATACTCCGATCACGTCTTAAAATAGAACCAGCTTCTAATATAGAATTTGATAACTACTTTGATGATAAAGGTAATACAAGTGCAAGTTGTCTTTCATGTATTACCATAATAGAGTTTAAAGAGTAGCATTAAAATTTCAGCCACCATATAGGTCTACCTATAAGGGAAGAGTGATCATCCAAAGTTCTATGTGGAAACGACTAGAAAAGACATTATAACATTGATTATTCCTTAACATTATCGTTATGGGAAAAACAATGTATGTTTTTGTCCGCATGCATAATTTCTACGTTAGAAACTTTCCCGATAGGCAGATTGAAATACTATACTATGGTGACACAAAAGTTTTTTTCATTTCTTTTATCAGGATTACGAATTTAATCATTAATACGTATTCAAAATAGCAATAACATTTTTGATAGCATTTATGCAGCATTTATGTAGCATTTATGTAGATTTATGCATTGATAAGCTAGTCAAGTCAGGAGAAAATGGCAACTTCGGACTTCGGATGGTGGTGGAATAGTGTACGTAATGAAGGCGTATCTACATATCTTCATGATCAACAGTTCTTTTGCCTTTGGAATATTGTTATCTAAAAAAAAAACAA